GGATCCAGGTGGCTAGATCAGCCATTGGAAGGTAAGGGGCTACCTTATGGGCTAGTCTGAGTTGGAAGCAAGCATTGAGAGGTGTTAACTTGCTTCTCCAGCAGTACTGTTGGATTTGATATAACCCCAAGGCTCTTTACTAAGTCAGCAAGGGTCAGAGCCAGTTTGGTGTAGTGGTCCAGTGTGTAGACCCTAATCTGGGAGAACCAGGTTTGATTCCCCATGCCTCCACTTGCAGCTGCTGGATGACCTTGGGCAAGCCATAGTTCTGTCAGAGCTGTTCTCTCAAGGACAGTTCTGGAATGAGCTCTCTCAGCCCCACCTACCTCACAGGGTGTCTACTGTGGGGAGGGGGAGGGAAAGGAGACTGTAAGCTGCTCTGAGACTCCAAGTGAAGGGCGGGGTACAAATCCAATCTCTTCTTCTTCTCTTCAAAGTGGGGAGCATAATGACATTCAAGATCTCCACCTGTCTTTTCAGGGATTAGTCACATTTTTTAAAATCTTAGCCAGTCTCCCACAGCCTAGCTTGAAAGCGATTTAGGATTTATAATAACCCACCTTCCAAAGCAGCAGTTCTCTCCTGTGGATCTGATCTCTGCTGTCTAAAGTTCAGTTGTAATTCTGGGAGCTCTCCAGGTCCCAACTGGAAGTTGGCAACCCTAGGCCTGGCAGCAACTCCTGGGTGACCTCATACCACCTGACCTGCATGACTCACCTAGGACTGGCTGCTGGATCCTGCTCAACAGCAGCCACCCTATAAAAGTCAGAGTAGGGTGTACTGGTTAGAGCTTCAGAGACTCAGCCTCGAATCCCCATCTTGCTCTGGAAGCTCACTGGGTGATTTGGGACCAGACACATACTTTCAGCCTGATCTACCTCACAGGGTTGTTGTGAGGAAAAGGAGCAGAGGAGAAAGATGCCAGTTCCTTTGGTCCCCACTGTGAAGAAAACCAGGGTATAATAAAGTAAACAAATAATAACTATTGCTGCAGATGAGAGCAGATAAAAGGTAGGCTGGTGAATGGCTGAAAAGGAGAGAAGGAGGCAGGGGAAGTGGAGAGGATATGGGGGTTGCCCAGGGGAGGGAAATGGGAAATAAGAGATGGGGACAGAGGGGAAAGTGAGGTGCCCCTCCCAAGTCCTTGAGGGCTCCCTACCATGCAGTTTGGCCTGGTCCAGTGGCCACCTTCACAGAACTGGGCTATGGATTTCCTAGGTAGAGGATGCTGGAGGGGAAGAAAGGGAAAACTGAAGACAGAAGGGCAGAAAAATCCAAGTTGGCTGTGGGGTGGGAAGGAGAGAGAGGGAAGCATGAAAAGAGGCCAGTTTGGCCAGGGATCCTGGCGGGTTTTTTTGTGATCTTCTGAGTGTGGAACACTAATCACTGGGGGTGTGGAGGGGGAGGTATTTGTGGATTTCCTGCCTTGTGCAGGGGGTTGGACTAAATGACCCTGAAGGCCCCTTCCAACGCTGTGATTCTATGATTCTAGGAAGCACTAAGGGAGTTTCTGGAAAGGGAAATATGAGATGCATCTCATAAGTCCTTGCCGGTTTCCACTTGGAAATAATAAATACAGAAGTCTTGAGATTTCTGCACCTGTCACATATCTTTAAAAAAGCACCCCCCGCAAACAATTTTTTTAAAAAAATCCTTACAACTTATCTTACAAGGTTTGTTAGCTTGAAAATGTTACAGGTTAAAGGGCATCGAAAGACCTTCCAAACTTACTGTGGATTTAAACCCAAGTCCACCAAGTTATAACCCAATCCTCAGACTCTTGAACTTTACTGACCCACATCATGAATGGGGGCAAACTGGGTTGGGTTCACTAACCGGGATCAGTCATGGCCCCAGGTGCGAGTCTCAAGCGTCTGCAAGAGGATTTCTTATTTAGAACTTTATACACAATTGGAAAAAAGACATGCTACACTTAACCTTTGACACATTTAATGAAGCCCAACTAACGGAAAACCCCCACAAAACGCAGAAAATAAAACAGAAAGTCTGATGTGCCTTGTGATGAAATGCATTTCTTCTTTGGAGGTTTGAAATGAACAAAACCTTCACTCTGTTTTTTTCCTTCTCTCTGGACAGAGAACAGGCCAGGAGGTCAGTCAATGGTTTTCCAGGTTCACCTCAGATACCCTTAAGAAATGCTAATACCTCTAGCTAGAGACAATAGGAGGGTCCAGCCCCCCCTTCCAATCAGGGAACAGAGATTTAGAGACCTGGGAGAGCTGAAGGAAATTTCAAGGTAATGGGGACTGGAATATTCAGAAGCATCTCTGACCAATGTTCCCTCTAAGCTATGGAGTCTTGTGAGCAAAAATTCTACTCTGTGAGCTCCTGGCATTAAAGTTGTGAGCAGGTGATTTGGCTACTGCATAAAAGTACATCCCAATTGGTTGGTTTGCTCTGGAGCCATCCCTCCTGAGCCGAGACAGAAATGTGTGAGCCGGAGCCTCAAAAACTGTGAGCTAGCTCACACTAACTCAGCTTAGAGGGAACATTGTCTCTGACCCAGCCTGATTTAGTCAGTGGGTGGGGAAAAGAGAGGTGATAAAACTCAGTGGAACAAGGAGGAAGGTCTTCTGGGTGCAGAGTCCATCAGAGCAGACAGAATTCAACCAAGGTCTGGAGGAGGCAGTCATTGACCATGCAGTGGCCTGGGAGAGCTGAAGGAAATTTCAAGGTAATGGGGACTCTGCAGGGATTAGTAATTTCCTAAACTAAGGAGCCTGCTCTATATTTTAATGTCTGATCGGGCATGTATAGAGGGAGAGACAGAGGAATTGCATTTTACCCATTTCTTTTGGATCCCTTGCTCAGGCTGGTGTTGTGTTAAAATTATGCTTGTGAACATTTTCTTTTAAATAAATATTTTATAACTTTTGATGCTGGTTGTGGTTCTCTGTACCACATAGACCTCCACCATCTTGAACACACTATTTTAAAAGAAGCGCCAAGGGGAAGGCCAGCAGTTGGCAAGCAGCTATTCCTCCAGGGGTGCACAAGGCAGTAAATTGACAGGAAAGCCGTGTCCTGACCCTCCCAGCGGGCAATTCCTACAAAGGTCAGGTGGTGGTGGCAGGTTACCTGAGAGAAAAGAAGAGGGGGGGAGCGAGGACAGGGGGGGGGGGGGGGGGGGAGAGAGAGAGAGAGAGAGAGATGTCTCTCCAGGTGTTGGGAAAAATTTGGAGGGCAGGGTGGAATAGGGCCTGCAGGCCAGAGCAGGCCTGTTCCACCACATACCTGATACAAATAATAATCTCTTTAATGAGCTATGACCCTTCCTTAGCTGAGTTTCATTTTCTCTGAGTCATAAAGAAATATTTTATCTAGGGTTACCAACTATCTGGAGCAAAAAAGTATTATCTCCCTTTAACAGAGGTATTTATCTCTTCAGATGCCCATTTCCACACACTAAGCCTCTGGGAAAGAGGCAGGATTCCCCCCGCCCCACCTCAGGCCTCTTAGCAACCTTAATGCAGATACCTTTTCCATTTAAAGTAGTGAGATGAAATTTCTCAGCCTGCTGCATAAAGACAGGATTAGGGAAAGGAAATGTTTTAGCCAGTTTTGTAGATGTCAGAGTTAGATTGGTAGATATTAGATAACCTGAAGTAGTGAGTTTCACAGAGGAGGGCAACCACTTAAAAAGGCCCTCCTTTGTGAAACTACTTTCTGAGCCTTTCTGAACCTCCAACACCAGGGCATCTGAAGAAGACTCTCATCAGAACCAACTATAGGAATGCTTCACCCTTGTATGGATTCTGTGAAGAACATGAAAATCAGATCTGTGCCTCAAGCAACAAACCATCCACTTGGCGTTTTCCCAGTTTTCCCCCCTCTGAGCAAAGGACAGCCTACCTTCATACAAATGCTAATGGATCCAAGACAAGGGAATGGTCAAGCTTACCCCCCCTTCCAGGCAGGAAACAGAGTTTGGAGGACTGTAGACTAGAACCACCCCAGGGATAATCTCCAGGAAGGGGCTGAAGGAAACACTTCTCTGATCTGGCGTGACCGGGTCAAGTGGGAGGGGAAAATAGGGGTGATAAATTCTCCTTGCAACAGGAATTAGTTTTTCTTTCTGTGGGATGCTCAGTTGATGAGAGGACATAGGACTCTAAACACCTGAGGCAGCCATATTGACTATGTGCTTGCCTTGAAGACTGGGAGCAAGATTCAAGGTCATGGGAATTTCCTAAGATAAAATCTGTAACTTGAATGTACAGTGAGAGGGATAGAGAATTTGCATTTCTGCCAAGTTCTTTTGTTTTCCTTCCTCACATCTTGTGCTGTGCTAAAAGGATGTGCGTAAACATGTTGTTTTTAATACTTTAATCTTTCGATGTTGGGAATGGTTTTCTGTACCACATAGACCTCCACCATTTCGGACACGCTATTTTAAAAGGGGTTCCAGGGGGGTTGGCAAGCAGCTATTCCTCCAAGGACTCCAAAAGCATTAATCTGATCCTGTGATGGCAAGGTACTAGGAGAAGGAGAAGAAGACAAGAGATTGGATTTATACCCCGCTCTTCACTACCCAAAGATGTCTCAAGAGCGGCTTACAAAATCCCCTTTCCCTTCCCCTCCCCACAACGGACACCCTGTGAGGTAGGTGGGGCTGAGAGAGCTCTGACAGAAACAGCCCTTTTTTCAAGGACAGCTCTTATCAGAAAGATGGCTTGCCCAAGGTCATCCAGCCAGGTGCAAGCGGAGGAGTGAGGAATCAAACCCGGTTCTCCCCGATTAGAGTCTGCGCACTTAACCACTACACCAAACTGGGTTGTCAGATGCTGTTGAAGATGGCCACTTACACTGAATCTCTTTCCACACTCTGAACATTCAAAAGGTTTCTCCCCTGTGTGGGTTCTTTGGTGCACTTGAAAATAGCCACTTCTACTGAATCTCTTTCCACAATCTGAGCATTCAAAAGGTTTCTCCCCTGTATGGTTTGTCACATCCTGTTGAACATTGCCACACAACTTGCATCACTTTCCAGACTCTAAGCATTCAAAAGGTTTCTCCCCTGTGTGGGTTCTTCGGTGCACTTGAAGATAGCCACTTCTACTGAATCTCTTTCCACACTCTGAGCATTCAAAAGGTTTCTCCCCTGTGTGAGTTCTTCGGTGAACTTGAAGATAGCCACTTCTACTGAATCTCTTTCCACACTCTGAGCATTCAAAAGGTTTCTCCCCTGTGTGAGTTCTTCGGTGAACTTGAAGATAGCCACTTCTACTGAATCTCTTTCCACACTCTGAGCATTCAAAAGGTTTCTCCCCTGTGTGAGTTCTTCGGTGAACTTGAAGATAGCCACTTCTACTGAATCTCTTTCCACACTCTGAGCATTCAAAAGGTTTCTCCCCTGTGTGAGTTCTTCGGTGAACTTGAAGATAGCCACTTCTACTGAATCTCTTTCCACACTCTGAGCATTCAAAAGGTTTCTCCCCTGTGTGAGTTCTTCGGTGAACTTGAAGATAGCCACTTCTACTGAATCTCTTTCCACACTCTGAGCATTCAAAAGGTTTCTCCCCTGTGTGAGTTCTTCGGTGAACTTGAAGATAGCCACTTCTACTGAATCTCTTTCCACACTCTGAGCATTCAAAAGGTTTCTCCCCTGTGTGAGTTCTTCGGTGAACTTGAAGATAGCCACTTCTACTGAATCTCTTTCCACACTCTGAGCATTCAAAAGGTTTCTCCCCTGTGTGAGTTCTTCGGTGAACTTGAAGATAGCCACTTCTACTGAATCTCTTTCCACACTCTGAGCATTCAAAAGGTTTCTCCCCTGTGTGAGTTCTTCGGTGAACTTGAAGATAGCCACTTCTACTGAATCTCTTTCCACACTCTGAGCATTCAAAAGGTTTCTCCCCTGTGTGAGTTCTTCGGTGAACTTGAAGATAGCCACTTCTACTGAATCTCTTTCCACACTCTGAGCATTCAAAAGGTTTCTCCCCTGTGTGAGTTCTTCGGTGAACTTGAAGATAGCCACTTCTACTGAATCTCTTTCCACACTCTGAGCATTCAAAAGGTTTCTCCCCTGTGTGAGTTCTTCGGTGAACTTGAAGATAGCCACTTCTACTGAATCTCTTTCCACACTCTGAGCATTCAAAAGGTTTCTCCCCTGTGTGAGTTCTTCGGTGAACTTGAAGATAGCCACTTCTACTGAATCTCTTTCCACACTCTGAGCATTCAAAAGGTTTCTCCCCTGTGTGAGTTCTTCGGTGAACTTGAAGATAGCCACTTCTACTGAATCTCTTTCCACACTCTGAGCATTCAAAAGGTTTCTCCCCTGTGTGAGTTCTTCGGTGAACTTGAAGATAGCCACTTCTACTGAATCTCTTTCCACACTCTGAGCATTCAAAAGGTTTCTCCCCTGTGTGAGTTCTTCGGTGAACTTGAAGATAGCCACTTCTACTGAATCTCTTTCCACACTCTGAGCATTCAAAAGGTTTCTCCCCTGTGTGAGTTCTTCGGTGAACTTGAAGATAGCCACTTCTACTGAATCTCTTTCCACACTCTGAGCATTCAAAAGGTTTCTCCCCTGTGTGAGTTCTTCGGTGAACTTGAAGATAGCCACTTCTACTGAATCTCTTTCCACACTCTGAGCATTCAAAAGGTTTCTCCCCTCTGTGTATTGTTTGGTGCACAAAGAGATGTGATCTATTTCTGATGTACTTTCCACACTGAATGGATTTACCTGCCTTCAGTATCCTGTACTTTGAAAAATGTACATTACGCTTTCTTCCATCTCGATTGTCAACCATACGGCCGTCTTTTTTTCTCTTAGGTCTGCCTCGTTTCCTGACGTTATCTTTTAAGTGTTCATTTTGAACTCTGTCTGGCATTTGCTGAATAAGTTCCTCACCCTCCTCATTCCTCTGATCGTCCTCTGCTGGAATAAATACAGAGATCCTGTTAGCACCTGGGAGGCCTGGTAAGGTCCAAAGGCATCTGTGTGAACGTAGGAAAGGAATGATGGCCCTTTGGCCTCATCCAGCTTGACTGATCTTAACCCCCCTCCCCTCTCCTCAGAGTATTTAGTATTTAAGGATACTTCATCCCCTCAAATGCTACAGCTGAGCTCTTGCCCAGGAGGAGTTTCTGACCCTCTAGATTTCAGGCCCCCCAGAAGACCTTCCACCCTCCTTACCCAGCGGGCTGTATGATTGTACCAAAACAAATGTTGTTCAGAAGTGAATCAGAAATCCCCCATGGCTATTCCTTGCCTGTTCCCTTGACATAACTGTGAAGGATACTCACTCTTAGCCAGCTCATTTGGGAAGGAAATATGCTCTTGGGATCCTCTTGAGGAACTCTCCAGCCTCTCTTTGGACACAATGCCATTGTCTGTCTCCACTGTAGTCTCTCTTATACTTCTGGCTTCTTTGGCAGAGAGAGTTGGGGGGAAGAGAGAGAAAGTGATAATCCTTATATAGGGAAGGAAAGAAATTCAACAGTAAAAATTCTTCTGGAAGGACAGAACCATGTTCAAGATCAAAGCCCAGAATTCTAACCAGTATAAGGGAATGGACCTGTGAAGCAAAGCACCCTAGTTCTCCTCAAGGGTTAACATTATTAAGTGGCCTATTCTGAGTTGTAGGTGTTTATGACTTGAGTCTTCCTGCAGCTAACATCCTTATCTTTTTCAGGGGAAGGCTCCACAATCTAGTCACTGTTTAATCGTGAAAACCTGTATCCAGTTGTGTAACCAGGAGGACTGGGGGATTAAGATGGTGCTGACAGTCTCTGGAATATTCCATCAAGGAGGACCCTTGATTGGGCCATGCAAATACACCTTGATATTTTCTTGCTTCATAGAATCATAGAATGTTAGAGTTGGAAGGTGCCTTGCAGGTCATCTAGTCCAACCCCCTTCACTCTGCAGAACATAGCCGAAAGGTAGCCACACAACATACCCAAAAGATGGTCGTCCAGCCTCCGCTTGAAAACGTCCAGCGAAGGGGGCATCCATCACCTCCCAAGGCAGTCTGTTCCACTGCTCAACCACTCTTACACTTAAGAAGTTTCGCTTAATATTTAGCCGGTAACGATTCCCTTGTCATTTCCCCCCATTAGATCTAGTCTTGCAATCCAGAGCAAGAGAGAATAGATCTGCTCCATCGTCTACATGACAGCCCTTCAAATCACAATGAATAGTTTTATGTAGAGTAACTTAGGCTAGAGCTGGAATACTTATGCTGCAACAAGAGGTGCCATCTGATATTTCATGTATTTGATAGAACAGTTAAGCTTGTCTTGTGTGTATATACACACACACACACACACACACACTAGGAATAAGGCCCGTTGTGGAAATAAATACAATGAGATCTAGAAAGAGGCTCTATGAGAGTGCCCTGGCCTTGGGCACTCAGCACCAATTTGCTGTGGCGACTTCAGCAGGGTATAATGATACAGAGTCCACCATTTCCTCCAGGGGAACTTATCTCTGGCATCTGAAGAGCAGTTGTAATTCTCCGTGATCTCCATCCCTCCCCTGGAGACTGGCAAGAATGGTTCCCCATGAGGGAATGGTGGGTTTGGAGGGTGGAGTCTATGGCATTGTACCTGTCTGAGGTCCCACCCCTCCTCAAATCTCACCCTTTCCAGGCTCCACCCCTCAAATCTCCAGGAATTTCCCAACCTGGAGTTGGCAACCCTATCTCCCTCACAGCCAACCATCAACCCACCATTATCTGCCTCCTGGCTTGAGCTTTCCCTCTCCTCCCCCTCCCCCCTACAGAGCAGTTGTAATTCTCACTCAAACCTCCAGGAATTTTCCACCTGGAGTTGGCAACCCTATCAAGACTGGGCCCAATGAGTTTTCTCCCAAAGGTTTGGAAAGGGCCTTTTACTGACAGAACCTGTCACTGAGGAGAAAGCACAGTTGACACCTCTGATTAGGGAAATACCTGGAGATTTTTTGGGGTGTGTGGATCCTATGGAGGGCAGCATTGGGGGGGGATGGAAAGACTCAGCAGGGGATTAATGCCATAGGGTCCACCCTCCAAAGCAGCCATTTTCTTCAGGGGAACTGATCTCTGTCATCTGGAGATCAATTGTAATAGCAGGAGATCTCCAGGTCCCACCTTGAGGCTGGCAACCCTAGAAAAAAGACAGCCACACAGCAGGGGGTTGAAGAGAATGGTTTGATGGTCGCTGGCCCACCTCATTAGCCAGCCAGCCATGGTGGAGCCAAAAAGGAGTGAGAGGCATGTTAAGTTTATTCTGACAGGAAAGTGTACAAGCAGGGGAGGGGGTTATGCTGAAAGTCCTTTGTTTTTTTACTCACAGAAGCAAGCTTGGTTGTTTGGTTGCCTACCAACAGCCACTGAGGAGACAGTTAGTCCCACACAGGAGCCAAGAGAAGTGTCTTCCTTAGGAGAGAGGCTGGCTTTCCAGGAGCCACAGCTCGTTTCCTCTAGGCCAGACCCTCCCTGGCGCCGCCGGTGCTGCTGAAGAAAGGCGGGGGAGCCTTCTCTGCAGTGCAGCCCACTGAGCTATCACCCTGATGAAGTGGAGGCCTTGTGGCTGAGGGAGAGGGGCCGTGAGGGGCAGCGAAGGTGAGTGCTTCCCCTGCTTGCCGCTGCTCGCTAGGTCTACCTCCTTCTCCCCCATGGAGGGGTTGCCTCTCTCTCGGCAGAGCGTCCATCCCCTTCGCCAGCTCCCTCCAGACTGAGGGCGAAACGCTGCCCACCGCCTTGGTGGGCGGGGCAGGGCCAATGCAGCCACGGGATTGGGAGACAGTGAGATTGGCAGCTGAGCAGTCCAAAGGTTGTGGAAGCGTGTCCAAGGAGGGACACCAAAACTCTTTTATTATAAGGAGAGATATATTTTTAAAGGGGCAATGCTTTACTTGTGTGCACTCTCCTCGTGAACCCAATGAACTGGGTGCTACTCAGGTCAAACAGTAGTGACCCACGGAGACCTAGGCTTTGGTTCTTGACAGGATCATCTCCAGGTCACAGGCAGAGTGGATGTTTGTAATCCCATCCAGGGGGAAGGGTGTGTTGTGAAGGTTGGTAACAGAAAAATGAGGATCTAGCACCTTCCAGAGTCCTCCTGAGGGCCTCTCATCCCCTTTGCCTCAGGCCAGGACAACTCTCTTGCTGGGGTGATGGGCACAACACTGGCCTCCGGTTCTCCAGGCAACTACACAAACATAAACATGTGAAGCTGCTTTCTACTGAATTAGACCCTTGGTCCCTTGAAGTCAGTATTGTCTACTAGTCCGGCAGCAGCTTTCCAGGGTCTCAGGCAAAAGTCTTTCACGTCACCTTTTACCTGATCCTTTTAAGTAGAGGTACTGGGGATTGAACCTGGGACCTTCTGCACGCTAAGCAGATGCTCTGCCAGTGAGCCACAGCCCCTCCCCAAGTAGCCGGACAGGCCTCAAAAACAGTGTGTTGCTATTCTATATTTCGAATCATGCCTCATCCCTTCGGCGGCAATTTGCACCTTTGGCACCTCTGAAAGACACTTACCCAGAAAGGCCACATTCCCATAGTTCTCCAGGATGACTTCCCTGTACAGAGCTCTTTGTCCCGGATCCAGTAGGGCCCACTCTGCTTCAGTGAAATAGATGGAAACATCCTCAAAGGAAAAGGGACACTGAAAAAGAAGATTCCCTTCTCAGAGATCACGCCAGGCAGAGACTGCACACTGGAAGGGAGTCGTCTGGGAAGGCTTGGGATGGGTAAAGGGAATGGCATTCAGAGGATCTTTCACCTGGACTCCTTGTAGAAACTGCAGGAGCAAAAGTCCCCCTGAGAAAGGAGGAGGGACCCAGGCTGTCCCCACCCACCCACTCATTCATCTCTCCCACCTGGACTGGAGGGGCAGCAGCCGTTTCCACACCTCTGAAAAGACGACGGCTCAACAGCATCTCTTCACTGCCTGTTACCCAGACAAAGGAGGAAGGAAGGGTGCTTGCTTGTTTGTTCCCTGTTTCATACACCCCCTTCCCAGAGTTGTGAAACCTTCCCCTGTATACACTCAACAAATTTTTAAACAGTTTTTACTAAATTCTGGGAGAGGCAGAAGAGAAGCACGAGGTACCTATCAGTCTCAGGGATTATAGATACTGTCAATGTATTTCAGGCTTCTGTGAGACCCGTGTCTGGCCAAGAGGAAGAAGAAGAAGAAGAGATTGGATTTATACCCCGCTCTTCACTACCCAAAGGAGTCCCAGAGCGGCTTACAAACTCCTTTCCCTTCCCCTCCCCACAACAGACACCCTGTGAGGTAGGTGGGGCTGAGAGAGCTCTGACAGAAACTGCTCTTTTTTCAAGAACAGCTCTTATCAGAACTACGGCTTGCCCAAGGTCACATCAGCAGGTGCAAGTGGAGGAGTGGGGAATCAAACCCGGTTCTCCCAGATTAGAGTCCGCGCACTTAACCACTACACCAAACTGGAAGGGGAAAATGGGGTGGGAATGACATCGCAGGACCTGTTGTCGTCACATTTGGCCCAGAGGTAACTTGAGCGCATCTGGAGACGCGAGGGTAATACGAATGCGTTTTCAGAGTCTCTCTTGGCGTGCTAACTTCACAACCAGGTTTTTAGCCAGACGCTAAATAAGCATGACACCACATCTGCCCCAAGCCCCTCCCAAGGGAACAGAAGCCAATTCCCCCCATGATTATGGGCCCCGAGGAACTGGTTTCCAGAGCTCTGCTGCCCCAGGAGGCGGAGGCTCCCTTGATTCACCAGGATGAAGAGCTCTGCCAAAGTTCGTCTACCTTTTCTCTTTTGAGCCACCTT